CTTCTTTTTCAGGCATAAACACACAAACAATCTCCTCCAAAAGCAAGACTTGTTCCCAGGAGAAGATCTCAGTTAGGAGGAGGCTTTGGGAATTGTGTCAGATCCCAAGAGGCTTGGTCGAAGAGACCTTGTTTCTACTACATTCCTCCTCCTGTGTAGCTCATCAGCTGTGTGGCCCTAGAAAACCTCTTTCCTCTCCGTGCCTTTTCATCTGTGCACAGATGCTTCTCTGGGCATGACAGAGCTGCTGCTAATGGTCTGGAGGTCAGACCCAACTGCAGTTTTCTCAGGAATCCAAGGGGCAGTAATGACATGCCTTGTTTGGATGGCACATGCATCATTTTTTTAAGATTTTATTTATTTGACAGAGAAAGAACATGTGCATGCACACACAAGCAGGGGGAGTGGCAGGCAGAGGGAGAGGGAGAAGCAGACTCCCCGCTGAGCAGGGAGCCTGATCCTGGGCTTGATCCCAGGACCCTGGATCATGACCTGAGCTGAGGGCAGACACTTAACCGACTGAGCTACCCAGGCGCCCCCACGTGCATCATTTCATCTGCTCTTTACCAAAGCCACAAGAGGAGGTATTGTGTTGCCCAGTTTACAGATGAGAAAACTATGGTCCAAAATCAGGGATTAGTTAACTGGAACCATGTCTTCAAGCCTGTTTTTTTTTATATATATGTAGAGAGAGAGCACATGTGCGGGAGCGGTAGGCGGGGAGAGGCAAAGGGAGAGGGAGAGAGAGAATCTCAAGCAGACTGCACTGAGCGTGGAGCCCAAGGTGTGTGTGTGTGTGGGGGGCTCCATCTCACGACCCTGAGATCACAACGTGAGCCAAAACCAAGAGTCCAACGCTCAACCAACTGAGCCACCCAGGCGCCCCTCAAGCCCAATATTTTTACTATAAATCATCTACTTTTTTTTTAAAGATTTTATTTATTTGTTTGACACAGAGGGAGAGAGAAAACACACAAGAGGCAGGGGGAGAGGCAAAGGGAGAGGGAGAAGCAGACTCCCCGCTGAGCAGGGAATTTGATGTGGGGCTCGATCCCAGGACCCTGGGATCATGACCTGAGCCGAAGGCAGACACTTAACAGACTGAGTCAATTACTTCTTTAAAAAGTCATGGCTCACTTAAAAAAATAGTTCCACACAATTAGTTCCTTGCAGAAAATTCAATATAAATAATGCAAAAAGTTCTCTTGACTTCCCACACCAAAGGTGATGACTATTATCTGGCGTTCCAACAATCCATGGTCACATAAATGCATGTATATCTATATAAATATATAATTTTGTTTCATATTTTAACAAAATTTACATGATATTGTACAGGTGATCCTGTTCAGAAACTTTCTTTGTTTTTTTAAAGTTTTGTCAGAGAGAGTCCTACGACGGCACTTAATAGATCTGCCTCGGACGTTTACTCTACCACAGGTTATTTCCAAGTATGGCTGTACCACAGTTTAACCTTTTCTTACTCATGGGTATTTGTTTCCAGTTTTTGGCTATTGTATCCTTTATATGCTTTTTTTTTGGTATGAGTTTAAACACTTCTCTAGGGAGAAATAAAACAATGGCATTGCTAGGTGTTAGAGAATTCACATTGAAAATATTAGTGAGTATTGTTAAATGGCGCTCCACACAGACTGTAACAATTTTCTTCTGTACCACTGATGGGAGAGCCATTCCTCACATCCTTGCCAACACTCCATGTTATCAATCCTTTTACTTTTTACTAGTTTGATTTGTAAAATGGTATCTCATCTTACCTCCCTCCTCCCTGATTAGTTTGAGACTAAGCCTATTTCACACTGTGAGTTGCTCATTATGTGCTCACCCCACATTCCCATTGACTTGCTGGGCTTCTTACTGGTTTTTATATTCTATTAACCTCTATTATGTAAGTCACAAATCTTTTCTCCCACTTTGTTGCTTTTATTTTTGAAACTGTGTTTATAGTGTCTCTTTTTATGCAAAACTTTATATTTTTGAGGTAGTAATATGGATTAATCTTTTCCTTCATAGGTTTTTGCACCTTTTTAAAGAAGGTCTTCTATACGTCAATATATACTTGTTTATCTACAGTATCTATTTTTCATATTTCACATTTATTCATTTAGCTCTTTAGTTCATCTGGAATTTATTTATTTATTTATTTATTTATTTATTAAGATTTTATTTATTTATTTGAGAGAGAGAGAATGAGAGACAGAGAACACCTGAGAGGGGATAGGGTCAGAGGACGAAGCAGACTCCCTGCCGAGCAGGGAGCCCAATGTGGGACTCGATCCAGGGACTCCAGGATCATGACCTGAGCCGAAGGCAGTAGCTTAACCAACTGAGCCACCCAGGCGCCCTGGAATTTATTTTTGTAAATGGTATATTGTAGTGTGCTATAGGATTTTTCCCCTGTATCTCCCAACTCTGAGTTCTTACTGAAGCTCTGAAACTCTTTCCTTAAGAGTGACTTAGTTCCCCAAATTATGGTCTCCCTTTTTTCCCAAGACCGTGCTCCACACAGGAGAAGGAGGGAAAACATGGTAAATACTATGTATAGTGCAAGGCAGGAAGAATCTCATCCAATAGACTGGTGCTGATAAAATGCCAGAGAGAGGGAAAGAGCACTTTCAGTGGTGCAATTTAGGAAGCCTTCTTGAAGGAGGTGGCAGTTAAATTGCTGGGGGAATGAGAGGTTGTTTAGCTTGATTGGAATGCATATTATAGGAAAGGGTTGCAGCTAGATAGGGCGGGACAGGCTACAGTGCGTGGGTCAGATCCGGCTGCCACCTGTTTCTATATGGTGTGCGAACTAAGAATGGTATTCTGTGTTTAAATGGTTGAAAAAAAGAAGAATACTATTTTATGACTTATGAAAATGAATATGAAATTCAAATGTCAGCGTCCATAAATAAAGTTTTGTTGGAACACAGGCATGCCCATTTGTTGGTGTATTGCCTGGGGCTGCTTCGTGCTCTAAGAGCAGAACTGGGGAGTTGTGACAGAGAGTGGATGGCCCACAACGCTGAAAATATTTACTCTCTGGCTTTTTTACAGAAGAAGTTTCCCAACCCCTGATAGAGAGACGTGAAGGTTTAGGAGTTTTACTCTTAGGTGCTAGGCAATGACATGGGAAGCATTATGATCAGTGCTGTTTTTAAAGAAGATAGCTGTTAGTGGAGATTGGTAGAAAAGAGAGAAAGGGGCATCCAGCTCCTTGCCTGTATGGCTGACCGGGAAAGGTCATTCCAGGGTGGCTTCCCAGATCCAGCCACATCTCATGTTTCTTGTAGGATCACCTGAGTGAGCAGCCTGGGGCCTGCTTTCAGGGTGAGAATCACCCTTCAGACCTGACCCAGCAGGATAGAACAAGCAGATCATCAAGATTTACAAAAATATAGGTGATCAGGGCCCATTGATACCAATAGCCCATCAATGACAAGCCATTGAGAAGAAAAGATTTTTTTTTAAAACAAAGTTCACTTTATTACATTAATTTTACACAGTAAAAGAATATGCAGTGCAGACTTGTTTAAATTCTCTTGCTGATTCTCTTGAAGACAATGTCACCCAGTGTCATGGTCTGAAAGTAAAAACAAACAGAAAAACACAAAATGTTAATCTGATGTTGAATCGTAAAAGGTAATTAAGGCCACAAAATCATCCCAAATATGCTAGCATATGAAACAACCCAAAGATGTCTCTGTTTTTTGTAAGATCAGAGAAAGGGTGGGCAATCTTTTCTAAAATTCCATGCCAGGTCTTTGTCACTTCACTTCCTCATGTGAAGAGTTGTCCTGCCTTTTAGTGAATTCCTTTCTATATCGATGGTTGTGAGAGCAAGACCATCCAAACGAGTCCAGTCTAATCCAATTTCTCAAAGTTTCATTGAGTGCCTGCTATGTACCAAAGGAGCCTCTTAGCTTCAGCAGCAATGGAATGGAATGAAAAGATCTAGGTTTGAACCCTGGTTCTACAGCTCATTAGCTGGATGACCTTGGACAGGTCAACCTATCTATCAAATCCCTCATCCCGCCTCCCTCACAGCTGAGGGGAAGGTTAGGGGAGATAACAAAAGCATATCAAAGCAGGAAAAAAGCCTATCAAAGGACTTTGGCCAGGACTGAGTCCAGGAAAGGCTCATCTCCCTCCACCCTACTGGTACCTTCCTGCTGTTCTGTGAATGTGCCGGCAGGGGTGGGGACAGCATGTTTCCTTGTTGACCCTCACACTCTACCTAGTTGAGGGATTCTCCCACTTCAATGAGGAGGGGTGTGACAGACCCCTTGGGTAGTGTTCTGCCTTCTATTACTCCCCAAAGCACATCCTGGGGGCAAAGAAGATCCAGAGGAACGTAACTGCAGGAGAAACACTGTGCTATTCACCCCCAAATCAGGGACAGGACATGGCCGACTATCAGGCACCAAGGATGATTGCACAACGGGAGTGTGCCACTCTTAAAGGCTGCCATAAAATTGCTATGAATATGATTCTCCTTGTGAGCAAGTCTTATGGCTACATCCCTGTGGAGACTGAGAAAGGTGGGTCATGCTGGTGGCTCTGCAGGACCCTCTATCTCCTTCTAACAAGCACCTCTCTTACCCCATCCTATTTGGGTATGCATGAAGAAAGGGGGATAGCAATGAGGAGAGAAGGAAGAGGGGGAGGTTAACTAGCATCTGCTTCAAGATGGTACTGAGTATACGAGTCCACACCATCTATAATGGGATTGGCTGGCTCCGTGTAGGATTGTGCATATACAACTGTGGATGACAGCCCTGTGTGACAGGCCCCGCTCAGAGCAACCCTCATCCTGCCATTCCCTGGCTATTTGTTGCCTTAGTTTCCCCACTTAGAAAAGTCAGGGCTGTGGGAAGATGGAGATAATGTGTGTAAACTGCCTGGTACATCATGGGTCCTCAGTAAGTGGTAGCCGAGGCTGAGCACAGGAAAGGTGGCGGGGGAGCTGCACCTCTCCCTTGACCTCTCCCTTCCCCTCAAGCACTGGGAGCCAGCAGCTCAGAGTGCCAACTTACGTTGGTGATCACATCGCCATTGAGTTCGGTCATAGACTTGATGCCTTTGAAAGTTGTCACCAGTTTATTGTCACCTTCCATCTGGACCACTGCCTGCAGGGGAGAGAAGAAATGAGCTGTGAGGAAAGTCAGGGGAGGGAGCAGGACCCTCACCAGTGACACTGGTTTCCCTGCCTGGGTCCTGGCAGACAACAGCCAAGCCACTCACGTCCCCCAGTCCTCCGGCTCTAAAGACAGGAGGTGCCCTTATTTTATTTTTTTTTTTTAAAGATTTTTATTTATTTGCGAGAGAGAGAATGAGAGACAGAGAGCATGAGAGGGAAGAGGGTCAGAGGGAGAAGCAGACTCCCCGCCGAGCAGGGAGCCTGATGCGGGACTCTATCCCGGGACTCCAGGATCATGACCTGAGCCGAAGGCAGACGCTTAACCGACTGAGCCACCGAGCGCCCCCAGGAGGTGCCTTTAAAAGCCAAAGGAAATGCCAGTGCTTCTTTGGTCAAACTTCTCATTTATGGTACGTGAACTATGAGAATGAGCATGGACACCTAAGTGGTCTCAAATGCAAGCACTAAGATAAAATTGGTAAAATCCCAATTCTCCATACTGATGGGCAGAAGGAGTAGCAAAATTCAAAATACTGGCCGGTTGGGAGAACACCTATTAAGCTTTGGTATATGTTCCTTCCAGCACATTTATATTTTCTACTGTGGTCTCTTTTCCAAACTTTATGCATCCAGGAAGAGATAGCAGAATCCCAGCAGGAAACAGAAGACCCTGGCCAAGGTTAAAAATGTGCCTCCAAGATGGACAATTGGAAAAGGCCTGTGGTAAAACCCAAGATGGCCTGCCCTTCCTACGGGCACATCAAGACGATTTCCCTCCTAAAGTTTATCACAGATTTTCTGACCTGTAATGTCATATCTGGAGAGGCAGAAATAAGAGGCCGTCAGAAGAGGTAAAAAGACCAACATGCTGAGGCCAAGGCACAAAGTTGTCTGGAGGGGGAGGCGTGAAGACAGCTGCTCTGTGGTGTTGGCTGTGTTAGGCGTGCGGAGTTTCCCAGGGAGGAAGCGAAGTCTCTAGTGAGGGGCACCGCACTGCCTCGGATCTCTCTGCCATCATCTTCTGGTCTTTTCCACAATGCACACCCAGCTCTCATTGCACACCCTGAGCCGCAGCCCAGCAGAGTGATGCCGCCCTGCCCACTCCCTTCAGTCAGCGAAGGGTGGCTATGCCCATTTTACAGATAAGGTAGCTGAGGCCAGGGGCTCAGCGACCCCTGAAGGCTTGGTCTGAGAGCCTGCCCCGGGGCCTTGGTATTCTGGTGTTCTTGGTGTTGCTAGCACCTCCTTCAGGAAATCTCTCCCCATGACCAGCAGCTGTAGGCTCAGCAAGGCCAGTTTACTTTGGGCTCAAAGATGACGTCACAGCTCTGTTTAGGGTGTTTCACGGATTCCTGCTTGTCCACTGCTGGGCCTGGGCGAACCTGTGCCTGGTCCCTACCACGTCCTCCACACGAGAGAGCTCGGGTTCTCCGGCCAGAGCACCCAGACAGTCACAGGAAAACGGGAAGGGCCTCCCTAGAGCTTCCCTAGGGCTGTCTTGGTCTCTCTGGCTCCCACCCCAGAAGTGGAGTCACAAATAAGGTATCTGAGGTGGGAACTGTGAGGTGGGAGTCTGGCGGGATCAGGCCCTGGGGCCAGGTTCCAGGGAAAGTTCCAGAAGCAGAGGGTGGTATGAGGGGGCACCTCCTACCTTGACCTTCTCCCCAGTCATGGTTTCCAGTTCACACTCTTCCCCCAAGGTGAACTCATTTTGGATCACTTTGGACCCCGTGGTGATGATGAGCTTGAAGTGCTTCCCATTCTGCACAATTTCCGACACCCCCTTGATGTCCTTCCCCTTCTGGATGAGTTCGTCAGGCAGACCTGGTGGAAACCATTTAAGGTTCAGAGATGAGCAGAGGTGGGAGCTGTAGGGCGACGGTCATAGAGAAACTCTGTGGCGTGGAGTCAGACAGGGAAGTGCTGTGTCTCCCCAGGGGCCAGAGGCCCGGATTGAGTCCTGTGAGCAACATGGGCTTTGACCTCTGAAAGGAAGGGTCAGTGGCCTGACTCCGCCTGACCTGGCAGTCCACTATTTCACCGGGGTGGGGGGGGAGTGGGTTTATAAAGAAGACACTCCTGTGTCCTGAAGAACCTTTCCTCTAGTGAGCACCCCGGTTCCCGCTCGCTCTCTTATCTCACACCAGACTTTGCTCTGAGTGTCAGTGTTTCATTCCACACCCAGAGTGACCACACAGTTTGTGTTCCAGCCGGGTCCCTCCTGAGAGTGAGAGGGGGAACAATGAATAATATGCCAGGACAATAGGGGCCAGCCAGGACAGTGTCCAGCGAGCCTCTGGCCACCCATCCCCACCTAGACCTCTGCTGTCAAGGCTCTTAAGGAAGGTGCAGTGGGAGTCCCTTGCCCTGGGACAGACCTTTACACATTTCAGGGCACATCTACACTGTCATATGAAGTGAGGTCCATGTGCATTGGCAGTGGGGGTAGAAGGTCCTGTGGCCCAGGTAAGGGATTCGGAACAGAGGGAACAGAGGTGGTGTGACACCTTGCAGGAGGAGAGCCTAGCTCTTGGCTAGCCCTGAAGGTCCTCCTCTCTCTGCCTTTGCTGTCTTCCCCACACTTCCCCCCCCCACCCCGGCACCCTTCTTTGTCTCACTGCCCCTTTCCTCATAGGGTTCCCTCTACCTGGAGCATGCTCCCTTCCCCCATCCCCTAGGAACCACTTGCTCATCTGCCAAGGCCCAGCCAAGGCTCACCTTCATCACCAGCAAGCCCTCCATCCGTGCCCTCCCGTGAGCCCCTCATCCTTGTGCACATGACTCTGGGAGGCACAGAGGAGTAAAGTGGGGTCTCTGGAACCAGCATCCACTTCAAATCCCAATGCAAATGCTTCCTACCTGTGTGACCTTGGTCGGGATTACTTAACCCTTCTAGGTCTCAGTTGTCTTGACTGTGAAATGGGAAAAATATTAGTACCCAACTCAGAGTTTTTTGGTGAGGATTCATTGGGATATTGCATACTAAGGGCTTAGCACAGTGCCTGGTAATGAGTCAGTGCTCAGTACACATTAGGGGATACTTTATTGTATTTATCTCTTCTCTTTTTCTCTCTCTAAACTGTGACTTGGAAATGGGGCCCATTTCCAAGTTATCTGTCTCCTTGGTATCCGTCTTGCACCGTGCTCAGCATGTGGTTGGCCCTGAATCAACGTCTGTTAGAAGAATGAATGAATGAATGAGGGAGGGAGGGAGGTCACACAGTGAGGTGCCAGCAGAGATTGCCTATGGAATGGCCTTGTCCAGGGAGCAATAGCACAAGCTGCAAATGACTAAAAAAGTCCCATGCATAACATGGCCTTTGGTCTGTGCAAAGCCTGAAACTTTTCTCCCATCCCAGCATCGAGACTCTGATTAGCCACCGCCAGCGGGGCCAGACCCTTATTCCTGTGACCCCCCAGCCTTGGTGTCCAGCCCAGCACTCACCAACTGCCTTCATGAAGGCCTCAAAGTTTTCCTGGCTCTGCAGTTGGTACTTGCCAGAGAAGTTCATGGTGGCGACAAGTCTCACTCCACAGCAGATCTGCAGCCCTGCTGGCTGGGCTGCCCAGTGTGGGCTGATTTATAGGGGGCTCCTTCCGCTTTGGATGTTGGACATAGGTCAGCAGCTGTCTACTCCTTTATGGCCAGGTTCAAACATTAACTGCTAAGAGCAATGGTCAACGATAAAAAAACAGGATGGGCACAGCAGAGGTTTGCTCTAATTCAGCAAACATTAATGGATGTCAGTCAAGTGCAAAGCTCTAAGTTCCTACAGCCTTTAATGCGCCAATCCTCCATTAAATGTGTGTGTGTGCCTATGTGTATGCATACATATTTGTACACACGTATGTATGTGCCTGTGCGCTTAGAGATGTGTGCATATATACGTGTGTGTACTTAGATCTAGACACACAGAAAAATACCAAAGAATCCTTTTAAACCCAAAACTTCCCCTTCTTTACATAACCTTATGATCTCTTCCAACCTTATTACACAAACTTAATTTTTACAAAGATGTCATAAGCCCCTAGCACCATTTTGTATTCTGGGATTCCTCTTGATAATTCCAAGCTCTGCACCATCCACATCAGTCTCCGTTTAAAGGTGTCAGACAAAGCACTGCATAGTGAAGGGCAGGTGGGAACCATGGAAACTGGGTGTGCGGAAATTGAGATGCATTTTATTAGGCAGAGACGGGGTAGGAGAGAGAAAGCAGGTAGTATCTGCTGGGCCAACCGAACATGTCAGGGGGGCCATGCTTTCCCACTGCACCCTCTGCCCTTCCCTCACCTTCTCCACCTGCTCACCTCCTCTAGAAATCCTCTAGGCTCATAGAGCACTTTGCAAATACCTATGTTCCAAATCCTACTGGGATTATTTCTCTGTGTATTCTTTTTCATTTCTTCCTTGGCATTCCCAATACCTGGCACCTAGTAGGTGTCTGTAATAGGTCAGTAAATAAAAACCATCAAAAGATAATGAGGCCATGGATCTTCTTGTTAAAGGAAAATAAGAAATATGGAGAATTAGGTTGGCACAGCCCCTCACATCACTGAATCATTGGCGCTGGGCAGCCAGGATCAGGGTGTGTGTGTGTGTGTGTGTGTGTGTCTCTGTGTGTCTGACCAGGCAAGTATGCATAGATGAGACTCCAGTGAACAGGGCTGGCAACGGGGTAACCCTGAGACCAAGAGCCAGCTACTCTCTTCCCGTCCATGTCCATTCTTTCTCCTTCCTCTGCGGTCCTGCTCTGCCATTCCAGCCTGCACCAGGATAGATGATGGGAGATTGCAGCAGGAGCTTTCTGTTTCCTGGACAATGCTCTCCGTTGCCAGGGGACCCTGTCTGTCCTCACCTGCAGCATGGTCACCAGGATGACTGCACGCTCACTCACTCAGCTGCCAACTGTCTGGGCTGCCGGGGCATCTGCCCTGGAAGCCCAGCAGCCCTCAGGTTCTGGCTGTATGGGAGTCAGGGGGACATGTGAGTGTGTGGGGGCTCATGCCAGGGACACTGACACTGCAGAAAGACAAGCTGGAGGAGCCCAGCACTAATACAGCGTGTCAGTCCACCGGAGAGTCGTGCTCTGGTGTCTCCGACTCCCTCACACGTACTCTCCCAAACTTCCAGAATGTGGACCTGTGGATCCAGCAAAGCACCCGAGAAGTCCTCTCATCCCCACATGTGCTCGATGCCTAAGCCCTCCTCTGGAGTCCCTGACAGGTGGCGTCAGCATATGCCCTGCCACGGAGAGGTCAGTCCTTTCTGAGCAGCGCGGGCAGAGGGTACCTGTTGACAGCTGCCCCGCAGATCCCAGCCCCAGTAAGCCTTTCCCTCTGGGGCAGAGGGGTGCTCCACTCTGCCCTCTCTGCTCGGTCCTCCTCTGATAGTGCCCAGGACACAGAGTGCTTTCCGGGCCACGGGTCAGGACGGTCCCTGGAGAACGTTACACAGGCTTGGAGGCCCAGAACTCACAGCCATTTTTAGGCACCACAAAAGCCCTAGCACCATTGGGACAGTGGCTCAAAGCATGACACCCACATCTTGTTCTGAACCTTGATTATGTACCTTTTAATATGTCTCATTGTATTGAGGGTACCCATATTAGAGCCTAATCTCCTCCAAGTGGGACAATGATTTTTTTTTTTTTAAGATTTATTTACTTGAGAGAGAGAAAGGGGGCAGAGGGTAAGAATCCCAAGCGACTCCAAGCAGAGCTATGAGCCAGATGTGGGGCTTGATCCCACAACCCCGAGATCATGACCTGAGCCAAAATCAAGAATCGGATGCTCAGCTGACTGAGCCACACAGTGGCCCCAGGGACAATGGTTTTTTTATTTTATATATGTATATGTAAGGCAGTGAAAAATCCATTATCTTAAGAATTGGCATCAGAGGGCGCCTGGGTGGCTCAGTTGGTTAAGTGACTGCCTTCGGCTCAGGTCATGATCCTGGAGTCCCGGGATCGAGTCCCACGTCGGGCTCCCTGCTCAGCAGGGAGTCTGCCTCTCTCTCTGACCCTCCCCCCTCTCATGCTCTCTATCTCATTCTCTCTCTCAAATAAATAAATCAAATCTTTAAAAAAAAAAAAAGAATTGGCATCAGAATTCCTCTTGGAGAGGAAACTCTGTGTGTGTGTGTGTGTGTGTAAATGGCTGGAGTAGCTGCTTGGAAGAGAGAGTGAGTGAAACCCAAAATCTGTGATCAGCAAGGGCTCAGGCGGTGACGGGGAAGGCCTGCTGCGCTGTGCAGGACGCTGGGAGAGGCCCCCCTTTGCCCCTGGACGTCGGGAAAGGGAAGAGCAGTGCAGTGGGCAGAAAGGAGGGGAACCAGTGAGTGGGTGTGGGGTGACGGGGCACGAAGACACCCCGGTGACAGTAAAGCGCGAAGCGCTTCCGAAAGTTCCTGTTGCTTTTGAAGCTGCTCATTTGCCGCCAAGTGAATCCCCATCCATCTTTCTTTAATTCCCTCTCCGACGACCTCAGGTGCTTTAGTAAAAGGTAATTCATAAATCAATACAGGTGCAAATGGAAAATGATGAAGGGCTGAGTTTCATTTCTGGATTCATGCCATGGAGATGAGACAGTACACCTGAAACCATAGAGATCTTTCTCGACTTAATGATGGCGTTATGTCCCAATAAACCCATTGTGAGTTGAAAATACCATGAATGGAAAATGCATCTACTACACTTAACCTACTGAACTTCATAGCTTAGCCCAGCCTACCTTACACGTACGCAGGACACTTACATTAGCCTACATTTGGGCAAACTCATCTAGCGCAAAGTCTATTATATAACACAGTATTGAATATCTCATGTAATTTATTGACTACTGTACTGAAAGTGAAAAACAAAGTTTACGTGGGTACAGAATGGCTTTAAGTGTATTGATTGTTTACTCTTGTGATCACGTGGCTGATGGAGCCAAGGCTCACAGCGGCTGCCCATCTTCACAGGAGATGATCGTACTGCATTATCACTAGCCTCGGAAAAAGATCGAAATTCACAAAGTATGGGTTCTACTGAATGAGTATCACTTTCACACCATGGTAAACTCAAAAAATCCTAAGCTGAACATAAGTCAGGGACTATCTGTATCAGGAAGCAGGGTGTGTATGGGAGCACAGTCCCCCCAAGGATCCCCAGAAATCTTAGTGAGGGCTTTGGAGGAATTCAAGCTAATTTTACCCAAATCCCAGAGTGCCATGTGATCCCAGATGGTATCTGGTGACGTAGACTAATATCCACAGGCTGATAGCTGGTCTGTGTCTGTCTAATGACCGCATTGGCCGAGTGCTAGACTAAACTCAAGTCGGACCTGAGACCCCACCCACCCCACCTCACCCACCACCTATCCGAAGAACTTCTCAAACATTTATCAGGGAGCAAATCAGTAGAAACTTGCTTCAGTGGGGAATCTGGGAGTTTTTAAAAGCAATGAAATAATCACTAAGGAAATGGCGATGATGAGGCCATTAACCCCCTCCCCCTGCGGCCAGTAAGTGCTTAATTTGGGAGGATCTACTGGAAGTTTCCTGGATACACCATGCTCTCCCACGCAGCCATTGCCTGCCCAGCATCTCTCCTCAGATAAAGGAATACCTGGGTCCACATCCAGACACTCTCCCCTTGACCATGGATGTCACATGACACACCCCACAGTGCTTCTCTCTGGGCTCTAAGGTGGAGAGTGGGAAGGACGGTCATGAATTTTTCTCCTAGGGCAAGTTAGCACTCATCCCAGAGCCCTCGCAGGGAGGCTGTGGCAGGTCCTTCTTTTCTGGTGTCTGACTCCCTGCAGACCCTTCTCCTTGGCCCTTCACTCCCTGCCTACCCAGTCCAGGGAGCACCTGGGCAGGATTCAGTCAGAGGCTGGCCCAGAGGCTGGTACAGTGGTGAAGACCTGCAAATGGACAGCCTGACAGACATGACGCAAGGACCTCCTCTCTCCCCAGGATCCCAGATGGGGCCTTCTCAGGCAATCCGCGACGGCCTCCTTCAGGCCAAATTTGTGTGTGTGTGAGTCTTGAAGCTGAGGAGGTCAGTGGCCATTTCAAAATTTAACACTTACAAGTGGTTTTCCATAAAATTAGGAGAGGGTAATGACATCTCCGGTCCACAAGCTAAGCAAACACAAGAAGAGATAAGCTTAATTGCAATGACAAAGTTCAAGTGGCTTTCAAGAAAAAAAAAAAAAAAAAAAAGACTCTCATTTCATGGGAGCAGTTTTCAATTCCCAAAGTGTAATGCTTCCTCGGTGCCCACTAGACATCCCCTCTCCTCATGCTCCCTACTCGGGTGAGCAGTGTGGAGGTGGGCAAGAAGAGGTGATGTGCCTCCTGGTGACCGGAACATGAGAGGCCAGGCCCCTCTTCAGGTGTGTCTGACCCCAGGGTGTCTGCCGCGTCAGCTTGCTCATGTCCTGTGAGCTGCTGGAGGTGTCCTGAGCTGCCCATACTTCTGCTAGACAAAGGGCTCTGGAGAGGAAGGACTTTGGTTTGGGCCCA